TCTTTCCCTTCCTCCCTTTCCTCACCATTATTTATAACATCAAACTCATTTTGGTGCAATATAAATTTTGGATACTGACTAGCATATGTAGAAATATATATGCTGTGGATTTATTAAACTATAGTACAAAATACAGTATCTATGTGTAATACAGGCATACCTCAGAATACTACAGGTTCATCCCAGACCACTGCAACAAAGTGAGTGTCGCAATAAAGCCAGCTGTAATCTTTTTGCTGGGGGTGGGTCTTGCCTTTAATGTATAAAAAGCACAGTATCTGTGAAGCACAGTAAAGCAAAGTGCAATAAAATGAGGTATGCCTATATGATGGCAAATCAATAACACCTAAAACCTATTTCTTAGGGTGATGGAAATAGGAAGCATATGCTGACAATTATTAGTAATTATCTTGACTATCAGCAAACCTGCCTAAGCATCACTAAATGTGGCAAAAAGCAACAGAATTAAACAGAAGGGCAATGCTAATTTATAGCATGTCGCCTCCATCTGTTGAAAGAGCAGGCTATGTTAAAAATTTCCTGTTACGCGTTTAATTTTACAGCTCTAGGTACTATTTGAGTCCATGAAATACCCATCCCATGGTACTGAGTTAGAGTACCAATCCCACTTTTAGTTCAATGAGCTGTTGGAAACTGTATCAGAAAATGAGACTATCCACTCAAATTCTACTAGCTGAAAGTCTTTTCATCACTCCAAGTCTGTCACAACATCACCACCACCCCTTTCTGACAATGCCCTTCTTTCGGAAGAAGTGCTTTCTCCTCTCCTACATCATCCCCAGCCTTCCCGCATTCTCTTCTGACCATCGACCATACACCTGGTCCTCGGAATGTTTGAGAAGGCAGTCCCTCCCCTTCAAGGAAAACTCCAGGTGCACAGCAATCCTGTCTTTCTGACTCTTAGAGACTTTCACACCTTTAGCGCCTCCATCCTTCCTGACACTCTTCTCTAGCCTCCCAGGACAACCATGCTCTTCGTTTTCTCTTGCCTCCTGCTTTTTGCTCACTCCTCAGTATCGCTGGGAGGCTCCATGTAGGAGCTGGTGATCCAGGGTGGTACCCTTCACTTATTCCCTTCCCATTCTCTATGTGTCTGCAGGGGCTGTAAAGGGTATAGTGTTAGGATGCACGTGAGCTCTGAGCACTGTAGGATGTGACAGCAGGCCTAGGAGCATGGAGTCAACATTTTCCTCTGGAAAGCAGGTGTTCACTTGGTTGCATCACAGCTGTCTGTGCAACTTAATAAAAACAGAATAATGAAACTGCCTGGAAAGGTACCTGCATGGCAGCCAGTACTGGCTGGCACTGTTACATCATCAGCTTTCAATATCGTGTCTGTGCAGTTACCTCCAAATCTCTACTCGTGATCTTCTCCCCCAAACTCCAGATAAAATATATGCAAATGCTCATTTGATATCTTCTGTATTTATCTATTTTCTACAATTTATTAACTAACAAGGAAAATGTGAAAAAATCATTTTCCCCCCAGAAATGAATAGGTGGTTAAGGAAGTGAGAACAATAAATAATTCAAGGAACCAAATGAAGAGAAAAACATGGGAAACTTTCCTTGTGCCAAGGGTATAAAGAATAGTTTAAAGGTTATATAAGATGTGGGAAGGAGAAACAAAACAAAACATAAAAACAACAACTACAGTTTCTTTCCTGAAATGATTTGTAATACAATGTGGTATAGTCACCAAAAAGATGTGGCATTCCTCATGAAATACTTCCACATTTTCACATGATGTTTTGTTAGATTCCTTAACTGGCAGAACCTCAAATACAGGGCCAACTCTCACTGTTTGGGG